TTTCAGCCTTAATGAGATGATGTCATATTTATAAAAAGATGAAAATTTCTGCGAGAAGTAGGAGTCGGCCACCAACACAAAATGTCAACAAAGTTACATAACTATATGTTGTGTACGTTGCAGTTCTGGAAACACATAATCAAACTAGGATCAGTTGATTTTCAGGGTTGTAGAAATTGATTAATTAAGGAATAAATATAATATTTCATCACGTGTATCTTATTAATGTCCTACCATACGACTTGGCTACCAAGCAATCTCCCATTTCTCTTTTTCTTCCTTGTACTAATTGTTAGCACAACAACCGCTAATATGGGTTACCCGCGGGTACCCGTTATCCGTCCCGTACGGGTATTGGTTACCGTTAATCCGTACGGGTTTGAAACATGGGAAGTAGTTTCTCTCCAAATGGGAACGGGTACCCGTTTCAAATGGGACGAGTACCCGGTCCCGTCCCGTTGCCCACCCCTAAATGATAGAAGAGATGGGAAAGAAAACGAAATAGAAGTGAAAAGTAATCCCTACTACTTGATACTTGTTTATCAATTAATTTCTTGGATTTATGACATGATTAGCCGGCCAATACCTACACTCACATAATCTCTTACAACAGTCATGGCCGATGTGAAGAATCATTTTTCTCCCAGAAAATGACAATAGAGAAAGGAAGTGTTCTGACGTCTCCAATCCACCATGTGAGAAAATTATATTATCAATTTTATTGGGCAAGTGATATTTTCCAAACAATCTTATAAATTGAATTTTTTGCATTTTAGATTAAAATGGTGACATAAATGAGTAAGACATAAATTAGAAGCGTTATCTTAATCATAATAATCTCACCATTATCTATCACCCAAAAAAAAACATTAGAAAAACATGTTCCTTTTGTTTTCATGTGCTGGGAGGTTGTTCGTCAACACCCAAGTGCACCTTGTTTTGGTTAATTAAGTAATGATAGTTGACAAAATCCAAAAGGGGATTGAATTATAGGAGAAATCGAACAGCTGAGAAGTCTGCAACAATATATGCTGCCGGCCTACTCTGGTCAGAGAATAGAGCTCGATCGAGGTTCTGCATGCTTACTCTATAAATACCCAGTTCCCCATTTTCCACTCTTCCACCTAGCTAGCTAGCTCTCTCAGTTATAAATATAAAACGTATCCTATATATATTTCCAATTCATATAACAACCAATATGGCTCCTCCTCACGCTATGATGGTGGCTTTAGCGATGTTGGTTCAAATCTACGCCACCGTGGAGTTCTTAAGCGCCGGCGGTGTTGAAGCGGCGGGTCGAGGTGCCGCCGCCCACTTTGGCTTGGGTCGGAGGAATCTTTTGGCCAATGGATTGGGTCTAACACCGCCAATGGGGTATGCATATATATATGAGGATCGTTGTTATATTTTTTCAGTCCTTTCTTGACTAGTTTATTTGATCCATGAGCGAACGATTAATAATGTATGAATATGTTTTTACGCTTATTTTTATAAGGACTAGACTGAACTATTTGAGAGCGTTAAGTTCGGAACTAGTTCAAGTTCAATTTTTTTTTTTTTTTTTTTTTTTGGCTTCCTCCTTTGGTTTGAGGATCTTAGAATGGATACTCTTGAAGTCTTGATAGAAAATCTAAGATAAACTATATATGTTCATTTTTTGTGATGAATCCAACAAGAATTCATATTGATAACTCTTGGTGTGTTTTGTCAATTATCACCTACTTATGGTCCTTTAATTTGTTTACTTATTATAAAATTATGATATGATTTTACACGGCAAAATAATATATGTTCATCACCTTTGCTTATATGCTGGTGTCTAAACAGGTGGAATACTTATAACCATTTCCACTGGACAATTTCAGAGAAGATCATAAGAGAACAGGTTTTCTTTTTCCCCTCTAATCATTTCATATATATAATATAACTAAGTATTTGCTAGTTATTTTTTTAATTTTATCAGATGTGCGTGCGAAGGAACTTTGTTTCATATATATACTGATACAGGTTCAAGTCTTAGATCTTAGTTGGCCAACTTGATACGATATTATTATTACAAATAAATATGAAGATTCTACACAGGATTTAATTTAATTAAAATAATATTTTCTCGTAAACAAGGAGTATATTGAGGTTATAGAATTGTGAAACCATAGCTAAAACAAAACCAATTGAGTTTTCTTCATTCATAGAGCTAATATAAATTTCTTGATGCATGTCTACAATCAAGTGTGACTAACACTAGTATATCACTTTCTAATTTGTGTTTGAAGCGGACGCCATGGTTTCATCTGGACTTGCTGCATTGGGATATCAATACATCAACTTAGGTGCTGTATATATCTATTTTCCTCAAACATGACTCTGTTGTACAACTACGCCATTGAAGGCGGCATTGCCCTGCGCCTTTGTTTTTCTTTTCATCTCCTAAATTCTCTTTCCCTGTCTCTCTTCTTTGATGGAATGCATTGGAAGATGATGCGTGGGCTGAACGTCAGAGGGACTCTGCGGGAAACTTGGTTGCTAATGCAACAACATTTCCTGCTGGAATCAAAGGGTTGGCGGATTATGTTCATGCCAAAGGCCTCAAGCTGGGAATCTACTCTGATGCAGGGTAAGCGAAATCACCATTTTCTCCGTCGAATTCTATTTCGACTTGATGCATCGGATAATAATGTAGGAGTAATCTTTTGAGTTGTTGCAGGAATCTGACATGCAGCAAGCTACAACCAGGATCATTGGGCTATGAGGAACAAGATGCCAAAACATTTGCCTCATGGGTATCCATCATCATACTATATGCAACATGATCTCTAATTCACTTCTCTACAAATGGAATTAAGATTATCTTGAACTGTGTTTGATCATTTTCTTCTTCTGCAGGAAATCGATTTTCTGAAATATGATAATTGTCATACTGATGGCACAAGCCCTCAAGTGAGGTATCCGATAATGAGTAAAGCATTGTTGAAGACAGGAAGACCCATCTTCTTTTCCCTCTGTGAATGGTACGACATCCTTTTCCCCCTCTTCTTCTTCTTCTTCTTCAGATTCAATGTTGGACTACTGTCAATGTGTTTGTTGTTGGCAGGGGAGTTGAAGACCCTGCAACTTGGGGTCCCGGTGTTGGTAATAGCTGGAGAACAACTGGGGATATTGCTGATAACTGGGAGAGGTATCCTTCCCACGAAGTCGGCCATAGTCCTACCTTAAAGCGAAAATTGTTAGGCCGATAATGATCCTTATTTTGCTTTGTATTCCCCAGAATGACAAACCGTGCAGATAAAAATGATAAATGGGCATCTTATGCTGGACCTGGAGGATGGAACGGTACACTCAGCATAACGCTCGTAACTATTTCACTTTTTCACTGTCAAAGGCAGAGACTTATTCGTTCGTTTGAACATTTCCAATGTCTTTTACTCGTGGGTAGATCCTGACATGCTTGAAGTTGGGAATGGCGGCATGACGAATGAGGAGTACAGGTCACATTTTAGCATCTGGGCATTAGCCAAGGCTCCTCTCATACTCGGGTGCGACATTCGATCGATGGACCTCGACACCCACCAAATTTGAGCAACAGTGAAGTGATTGCAGTGAACCAAGGTAATATCAACGTATATGATGATGATCTACAAACACCATGGCTGTAATCCGACAAGTTGTGCTGAAAATGGGATGGTTCTTTTCAGACAAACTTGGAGTGCAGGGGAAGAAGGTTAAGAAAGATGGAGACTTGGAGGTGTGGGCTGGTCCTCTCAGCCAAAAGAGAGTGGCAGTAGTGCTTTGGAACAGGGGTTCTTCCCCAGCTAAAGTCGCTGCTAACTTCTCTGATATTGGCGTCCCTTCCTTCGCCCTTGTGGATGTCAGAGATTTATGGGCGGTGAGAGAAAAGATAAAATTGTTTCTTCTGTTCTTCATGAACTAATTTGACTGTGGAATTGAATTGATTTGATTTGCTGATGGACTTGTTCTGAATTTCTTGTACTGCAGCACACCACCGAAGCAAAGGTGAAGGAACAAATCTCGGCGGACTTGGATCCCCATGCCTGCAAGATGTATATCATCATTCAAAAGTAACAACCCTGTAGCTGCCAAGTACCAAGAGGATGCATATAAAATCTTTGTACCTGTGCCTTTCTGTTTCTTCACTTTGTATTGGATTCCATTCTGAGTTGGGTGTGATCAGAAGCAACTTGTAATGCTCTGTGCGGAATTTGAATCCATTATCAGTAATAAAACCCAAGTTGTAGATTTTGTTTTGCGAAAACCTGGAGTCTTTGTAGGTTGGTTCCCGAATTTTCTAGTTTTCTGCGCCATGCTGGAGACGGGAATATAGACGAAGATGAGAAAGTTGCCGTCTTTCAGCTCCAGAAGGTCGCTGTATCTGTGGAATTTGAATATACGGGACGCCACAAATCATGGCCTTAACAAACAAACTCTCGATCTCTACAATTCCATCCTGCAATCTAGGGTAGGTGGTGGTAGTAACTTTACTTACCCGATGGTCCTTAAAGCCGTTCTTCTTCCCCGACGCCATCCACGTCGGGAAAATGCTTCATTCCCATGTTACCCATCTGGGTTTCCAGGTGGACGTCTACGTGCAGACATCTCTCCTCGATATGTACTCCAAGTGCGGCAACTTGGTTTCTTCGAGGAAGGTGTTCGACGAAATGTCTGAGAGAGGCGTTGTGTCTTGGACCTCCATGATCACTACTTATTGCCATTTTCTCTCGTTGACGAAGTCGTTTCTGTGATAAACCAAATGAGGGCTCTTGGTCTGGAACCAGTTCGACCACTTTCCTTGTGTTGTTTCCTGCTTGTAGCTCCCTTCAGGGCTTATCAACCCAGTGTTGTGCCTTCAAAATGGGGCTCCTGAATGGTGACGTTGAGGTGCTCTAATCATTCTGTGATGGGTATGCTCGTCAAACACTGTCAAACTCATGAAGCTCGTGCAATCCTTGAGCAGATGCAAGAACCGTCGGTCATCTCTTGGACAACAGTGACTAGCGGTTATGTGGAAGCTGGACACATGAAAGAAGCTTTCTCTGTGTTTAACCAGATGAGGAGGAAAACATCAGCCTGGATTATGTATCTTTCTTCGCAATCATATCAGCTTGTAGCCAGCATGGCGACCTGTTGGTAGCTTCGACGGTCCATTCTCTAACAATCAAAACCGGATGTGAGGGTGAAGATGCTATTGACAATCTGCTAGTGAGCATGTATGAAAATGTTGTGATCTCGTCTCAGCTAGACGTGTATTCGATTCGTCTTGTGAGTGGCACTTCTGCGTCTTCATGATGTTCAAGACAACAAAATCTACAGGAAAAAAGAATATGCCCACCTTAACTAGAAGGTCTTCCACTTTGCCCTATAGGATGGACTACAGATCGGTCAGCTAATGAATACTCATCCTTGTTGCACTGGGTTCACCTAGGCCTAGTTTCTTGAACAATGTATATGGTATCACATTAATACTATCACCTAGATCCTCCAAGGACCTCTCTACATGCAATTTACCAATAGAGCATGGGATAGTAAAACTACATGGGTCCTTCTGCTTCGACGGAAGCTTGTTCTGCAGAATGGCCAAGCAATCCTCACTGAGCTCCAGTGGCCAGATCGCTCAGCCTCCACTTCTTCGAGAGAAGCTCCTTTAGGAACTTCGCATACTTAGGCATCTGAGATAGTGCCTCCATGAAGGGCACTTGAACATGCAGCTTCCTAAGCATGGACGAGAAGTTGCCGAACTCTGCCTCTAGCCTGTCTTTGTACATCCTGGTGGGAAAAGGGAGCTTAGGCTTATATTCAGCCACTACTGGTTGTGGCTTTAGAGCTTGAGCCTTTGGCTCCTTTTCCATCACCAGTCTTCTTCCGGCTCTGGGTGATTTGGGTCACCGTCTTGGCACTCTTCTGCGGTGCATCCGCAGTTACAGTCCCACTTCTTAACATAATGGCGTGCAAACCCTCCTTATGATTTCTGGCCAGGAAGCATGCCAGCCGGTCTGGAAGCAAGGGCATCTGCCAGGTGCCCGATCTTGGTGTCCATATCCTACAAGAGTGCCTGCTGGTGTCTCTGGCCAACCTCAATCTCCATGAATTTGCCTACAACCACTTCCATGAATTGCTCCAATTTATTGAACTTTTGGGTACTAGTGCTTGCCAAGGTAGTCACTAGATCCCTCAGTTCTGACACGGGATCGCCCGGTGCTGGGACTGATGGAGATGCACCAGGCTGCTGGTATGCTGCTGTGGGGCTATTGAAAAACCTGCCCCTGTATGGGCTGATAAAGTGGCTGCTATTGCTACATCTGGCTCGACGAGGCTGGTATGGCTGCCTCTGGTTTGGAAAACTAGTTGCAGGAGCCTAAAAGCCAGGTGGCTTTGGATTTTTGTTGCCACTCTAGGAGAAATTTGGATGCTGGCGCCATCCCTCGTTGTAGGTATTACTGTAAGGATCGTTGCGCCTGGCATTGTTGATGAAGTTCACCTGCTCCTGGGGTGTACTGGACTCACGCATGGCCTGGAAGTCCTCCACAGTATGATGGGTGCTCTCGCACCACTAACAATGCATCGCCTGCTGCTGTCCTGCCCCTGGGATCATTCCCGAACGATCGATGGCTGAAACCAGTTTAGATACCACCTGCACCAAATCAGACGACTGGGTGGCTACAGCATGCACACCCCGCCCTGGTGCTCGTCTCGATCTCCTCGCAGTTCCCCAATCATATCCCGCTTTGCCATCTCTTCAAAAAGTTGATTCAGCTGCGACGGTGTCTTAGTGAGCATATTCCCGCCGCAAACTGAGTCAATCAGCTGCTTGTCTTCCGGGAAGAGGGCATGGTAGAAGGTGCCCACCTTGAAGGCGTCAGTAAAACCATGGTTGGGACACTTGAGGAAAAGACTGGTGTATCTTTCCCAAGCATCCCGGATGGTCTCATCTTCATCCTGAGCAAAGTGGGTGATTCGCTTCTGCAGGTCCGCCGTCTTGGACGGAGGATGATAGCGGGTGAGGAACTTGTTCGCCAAGTTGGCGAACGTGGTGATCGAGCCTGGAGGTCGAGTGTCCAGCCACTCCTTGGCTTGCCCCTCCAGAGTAAATGGGAAGTACCTCAATTGGATGCATCAGTTGAACCCCATTGATCTTGATCCCATCGATGAGCTCGTGGAATCGCCTCAGGTGTGATCAGGGGCACTCCCCCTCCTTGCCACGGAACACCACCGAGCCGCGCAGCATGGTGATGACAGAGGTGCTCACCTCAAATTTATTTTCTGGAACTTGAGGGTGCTGGATGGGCGACCTCATGTCCGCGGCTCTAGCAGTCCAGTAATACCCCATGGTCTACTCCTCGGGAATGACTACATAATTGTTCTGTGGGTCACCCATTTCTTCCTCCTCGACGATTTGCAGCTGTGCTAGAGCCTCCTCTGCAGCCAGTCGCGCCTTTAAAGCCCGCTTTAAGTTCCTACAAGTCCGTTCAAGCTCTTGGTCTAATGGTAGTAAATCTCCCGACAGGCTACGGGTCATGCACTACCTGCACGCGATCAGCAAATGCAACCCTTGAAGGCACACAGGTGGAAGAGAGAAAATGCAGTAAAGAAGAAACTAGAGTAACAACCTTTCACGTTTCCACAATAACCTAGAAGTTCCCCCGGCAACGGCTCCAAAAACTTGACACGCTAAAACACAACACCAAACTGCGACAAGTGTAATCGCAGTCCGGAAATGCAGTAAGTGGCAAGCTCTATTTGTCAACCCGGGTCTAGATATACTGCTTACTCCGTGATTATCTATTATCTAGCAAACTAAGTCGAGTGATTGTGATTTTAACTAAAAGCAGTAAGAAAGCAGGAAATGGTTCAAAGTTCTTTAGCAAGGGAAGAGTCACTCAGGAATGAGTTGCCCCTAGATCCTTAGTTAGGTCAAGGTTGTAATTACCCTGGGTTGATTAACTATTGATTAAACTACGGAAGATCCGACAGTAGCTTGAATCTCTTAAGCTGACCAAGTCCTCTCAGGCAGGCTAACCGGTAGACGACTAACCTTCACCGGGATAGACTGCTAAGGCAATAAGCACAGAACTCCACTACTGGGTTCGGTTTCCAGTACAAGCAGTAAACCGATTAACTCTCGTATAACCAATCTACCACTACCGATTGATGAAGCTCTTACAACCTAATTAGATTCTATCTATCTCAGGTTGCAGCAGAAATCAAGAAAAGGTGATCAGACTTCAATTGACTCATGAATCATGCACCAATCGATTATAACCGATCAGTATATCAATCCCAAGTCATTACAATCAAGATTCCTAATACATGGAACTCGGTTCTTCATACCAAGTGAGAGAGGTTCTACTCCATAGAGAGAGAGAGGAAAACAGAAATCAGAATAGTCATACTCATAAAGGTGAGGATAATCTGCTCTGGGATGTCGATCTTCACTCCTGGGGATACAATCTGGGCTTCAATGGTGATAAATCCACTCCAAATAGCTCCTAGGGTTTGTTCTTCGCACTTCTCTCTCTCTAAAGCTCTGTTTTTTTTTTCTTTCTCAAAAACTCAATTCCCTCTTCTTAGGCTCGAAATTGGGTTAAAACCAGAATTTCCCAACCACACGGCCGTGTGGATTCCCAGTCTGCCCGTGTGAGAGCCAAAACGCAACGTTTCAATAAGTGCCTCCATGATTACTACACGGCCAGAGCTGCAAGGCCGTGTAGAAAACAGGCTTGCCCGTGTGACTTCCCTGGAATTTCCACACGGCCTCAAGGGACCCAGTACACGGCCAGTGTGGTCTTGTCCGCGTAATGGGATTCCACACCCGTGTGGCTGCTAGGTCTGATCGTGTGGTTTCCTCAGCTTCTCGCCAAACGTCCAACTTTCGTCCAATCAACCCCGAACTCGTTCCCAAACCTCCAATCACGTACTAGGACCTAAAATATCACAAACAAGAACAACCTAGCGTGAAATCGGCCTAAGATACGAGAAATGAGGCTCAAACGCATAAGAATGATGGATAAAAACATGTGTATATATCAAGTCAACACATATTTATAACGAAAGACTCGAGAAACCCTAATAATAAACCTAATTCTACTAAAAGACTACTAATCATAATAATAATTATCCACCATTATTAATAAATGAAACCCTAATAATAATATTTCTAACATTCTCCACCGCTTGATAACAACCTTGTCCCAAGGTTGTAGTGAATGTCAATTTTGCACTTCGACTTTCTTCCACAACAGCTAAACTGTTGCTCGCGCTTCTACTCTTCCAATTCCGTTCAAGACTCGAGCAAAACTCCTAGCAAAAGCAACTCCATCCTTCGCTGGTTCTTTTGAACGACATAGCTCGACCTGTTTTCATCCTCCCTCCTGACTCTTTCAAACAGTGACCCACTAGTTGCTCCTTCTTGTGTCCGCCATCACTAAAGCCGGGAACTCAATAGTTGAGTGCTCCATACCCTCCATTGAATTAATGGTGATTAAGACAAGCCCTAACTTCCCATAAATTCTTTCCTCTCCATCTTGCCCCAAGCATGGCATAACACAACCTCCTCTTCCACTTGCACGCATGCATTCATTTCCACGTTCCATCCACAATTCACTTCCCTTAATTGTGCAACACCCCTGTTGTTGGATTCCCTCCCCATTGATGGTCTCTATTTGGATATTCTGAACTAGCGTCCCTGGAGATAAAGCACAAGGCTTGTGCATTAAAGGACAACTCCCACATAAATTACCTGGATTGG